TGGACTCTGAATATTCTATTTTAGTAATTCAAGTTCAAAGAAATGAACTTTGTATGAAACCCACATTTTGAGGTTCTTTGCTTTGTTCTCTTTTTTTGCTTCGCCTTCATTCCCTGTGTTCCTCCCCTACCCTTGTGACCTATATGGACATGACCCAGGAACACATTTCCTTCTTGGCCTTCAAACCTGAACCAAACCAGATGCTATAATTTTTGCAAAGCATACTCGATGTACTACCTAATGATATTTACCGTGGAAGGAACAGTGAAGTGGGCAAATGGGGGTGGGTGGGGAGAAGATTTAATGGAAAGTTATAACAGTGTTTGTCTTATTTAACTGTAGGGATTAATGGACCTATATAACAGGAGAAAGTTAAAGGATCTAGTAAAAAGAAAAAAAATTACAAACACCTGATTCCAAACTAATAAAAATTATAAGAAGTTCCAAACTAGTTTTCCCTTATTTTATTATTCTATTATAATATGTTTCTAATTTTAATATACGCAAATTCTAAAATAAAATTATCTTTAATTGCCACTTTTCTTAAAAATAGAATTTATGATTTAGAAAAGATAGGCTAAAATATAAGTTTGGTCCGCTAATTTCACATAAGATTTAGTTGAGTCCCTTAAATTTAAAATTATATTTTCCGCCTCTTAATCTTAACCCTGTTAAATATTTTCGAAAATTTAAATGGTCACTCAAAAATTAAATGTTGACAAAGCATGATTAAATTTTAATCTTTTTACATAATCAAATGACAACAAATGTGATTGAAAAATTTGCGATGCTCCTGTACTAAAAAATAAAATTAATTATATTAAAGGATTATATAAATTTTTGCTCCTTAACTATAATCACTACGTGGCCCTATATAACTCTGTAAATAAAATGAGGTAGAATGTTAATATATATGAATTCTCTATTAATTTTTCCATACGGACAAGTAATTTAATTTTTTTAACTATTTCTTTAATTTATTAGAATTCTCTGCATTGTATGTGAATCTATAAAATATTAATTATTTATATTTAAAAATTGTAATTTATTTCATAAAATAAAAGATTGAAGCGTTTGGATGATCAAACCTTATTATTATTGTGATTATTTTCTCTCTAAAACTCAAGAAGTTCACCATAAAATATGAAATTTATATCCATTTTTAAAAATATAAAATCCATATGAAATCACATTAATCACGATATACATAGTAACGTGACTTATTGTTAATGAAGCCACCTTAAGAAAAAAAGATTGGATAAATGACACGGGTGAGTTTTAGTTGAGTATAATTAAGGGGTAAAGGATATGAAAGGATATGAAATAGGATGACTAGTTATTAAAAATATATAATCTGAAAAACTTAAAAAAAAAAAAAAAGGCCAGAGGATAATTTAAATACAACCTCTTATCCTTAATATAAGAATTAATTTGACATTCAATTTGGTCTTAAATATAAAATGCTAATTTACTTTGTATTTCATATTTATCCATGTTTTGTAGTCGTTACATATGTTAAAAATTTTATCAAATAGTAATTAACTATTTCTAGCTAATACATATTACTAGTAAGGATATTTTAGGAAACACAAATCTATTTATTATAAATAACTAACTTAACTAATTTTCTTAATCTATTCAAATTAGTCAACTAGCTCTTATATTAAGAAGCTAGTATAATTTAAATCACGTCACAGAAGAAAATTTAGTTTTTTAAAATAGGATTTTAAATAGTGATAGAAAGTTATGCATTCGTTTTATTTGTAGAATTTTCAATAGATTCAGATCCAACGTTGATATCTTATGACGTAATGAGTTTTTTTTTTTTCAAGGCAGTAGTTTTTGCCTGTTCCTTGCTCCAAATTTAGCACAAAGGAAAGAAATTGACACCTAATATCCTAAGCAATATGGGCCGTCCAAATTAATATTTTTAATTATTTATTTTTAAATAAAAATTATTTTTTTGTAAAGACTATAATTGTGAGATTATCTTTATTTTATTCTATACCCATTAAAATAATTATTTAAAAAAAAATTGGATTATCTAGATCAAATCTATACTGTCTAGATCTGATGAGTTTGAAATTCTCATTAAGAGTGATGAGTAGCCAAACTCATTCAAGGGAATATATACCATTTTCTGTTAGCTAGCATTGAAGAATTAGCTTGTCACCCTACTCACTTCAAAAGTTGCATGTTGTGTTTGCTTCTCAACAAATGTGACTAGTTGGAATCATTTGTTTAATTAGTGTTAGAAGATCGTTGAAACAACTGGATAGTGAATTGGTTGGAGTTGTGCTGAAGACACAAAATCGTGGCAGGGACGCTGCCCTTAAGAGTTATTCCTCACCAAAGGTAAAGTCGATGAGATGTTGTCCAGGATTAAACGAGCCCCTCCTACAGCAAACAAGATGACAGAACAACAAAAATACAGATGTAACTCAGTAGCAAAGGAATGAGAGGAGAAAATCATAGGGGAGAGGATGAGTGCTCGAAAACTCAAGAGCTAGTGTACCGAAGTCCCAAATCCTTTTATATAGGGCCACGGAGCATTTGGATGCTGGACACCACACGTATGACAATAAACACAATTAAATCTTTGGTTTCAGACATTGACACAATAAACACTATTTAAACCTTCAGTTGTAAACTTTAGAGGTACTCAAAATTGATTTTCTAGACGTTAGCAAGCATTAACCCATTTGCAAAAGTTTTCTATAAAAAGTGCCAAGTACTTTCTTAACTTGTGTACCAGAGGAAAATTGCCAGTTTTCAACTGAGTTTTTTTCCATCGGGCCGTCGCCCAAGATTCTTCTTCTCCTCTAGGTCCATTCACTAGTCTAAAAATGTGAGATAGTTTATATACACTTGAATCTCCTCTCTCTTGAGCAATATGACATTTTACTCTTGATACACCCACTTATATTCACAACAATTAGAAGCCAAAAGGTTTCATAATTTGTTACGACTATAAGATTACAAAAATGATTAGGAAAACATATTTTATATGAAGGACATGTTAAAAGTACTTGTAATAAGGACCATATATAGAGAATTTAATTTTTGACCTAGCAGTCTATAAAGAGCTTTCTTTTTTTGTAGGCATAGGTATCCTTCTATTTGACGTAATCCTGTTCGAGACATTGTCAAATACTGAATATGGGTACCTCTCTTAGAGCTTTTTGCATAAAAAGGTTTTGTGATAGAATTTGATCCCATCACTGCCGGGTAGTTGTGCCAAAATTAAAAATGACTATCAGGCCACTAATATTTCACTATTAATATAATGCAAATATATATATGTTTATATGTTAAAGACTAAGTTTTTAAGTATAAGTTTTTGTGAATATATTGAGTATATTTTAATGCGTATCAATAATTTTTATTTAGCAAGTAATAAAGTCGCTTTTTCAAGTCATTCACAACTTTTATATAGGTATCAATATTTTTTGTTTAGCAAATAACAATAACACTTTTTCCGGTCATTGGCAACTTTTGTTTGAGTACTCCACATGGGGGAGTTTGACAAACTCCAAAATCACCTAAAATAAGTGTTTTCACATAAATCAATGTATATTTGGCAAAAAAAAAAAAATCACGTATAGCTCTTTTCATATACTTACCTCATACACATAAAATTACTTTTAAAAAGAATTACTTCTAAAAAGTGCGACAAAATATGATATAAAGTCTCCCATGGCAACTAAAAAGAGGATCGTTGTCTGCATAGTCACCATCATTATCACAATCTGCAAATCTCAGAACTTCAAGCATGAAACACCCATATCAACAATCATCATCTTCAAGAAGCCATGATCATTATTCTCTTTCTTGTTCTTCCATTGGAGTGGCATGTAACAATCCCTCAAGTCGTCTTCCGCTTTGGTCATACTTTTAATGAGGAGTTCCAACACCTCCTCATAAAGTGGAGGACCAGAGCTCTTTGCTTGTGCTCTTCCATGGCTACCAGATGCTAGCTACTTCATGTGGTGGTATGGACCAAACGACACCGTTTGGCCAGGGGTTGTAGGCGTTCTTGTTCAGGTCTGAAATACAGGCGGCAATTTACATAAATGCAATGCTTCTTCCGTCCTTGAATCTCCATTGAAGAAGATTCATGGCTCTTCAGCTTCTTGTTAATTTGAACCACCCACTCATCTGTTTACAAAATCCATTTGTTCGATCTCTAATTTCTTCCTTACTTGTGAAGAGAGAAAATAAACCTGTGCTCTTCTCTCATCTTCAAGTAAATGATTAATTTAATATAATCATAATTTATCAATCTATTTTACGTCCTAAAATTCCTTTCTTGCTGATTGTTGGTTCCAAATTAAATGGATTCTTAGCCCTGGACGCTCTACTCTTTTTTCTAACGCCAAGTTAAGAACAGGTTCACTAGCCGCCGAAATTAAAGGCCGTTTTTAGCATTTTTATATACCAAGTTATCTTTAATGCTTTCTGCATTTCGAAAACCCAAAAGAACTAACCTGTTCATTGCCTTTGATTTTGGAATGAAATAAATTAGAATGGTGTCTGATTATTTAGTTTCCGTACCCCAGCGATTATACATATACATATAGAGTTTCACTACATGTATTACAGTATTATATTAGTATTAATGAATTGTTAGATTACGCAGAGTACTTCTATTTTATTTCATACAACCACGAAAAAAACAAAACGACGAGAATTTTAATGCTTTTTGGGCTTCCAAGATCACAAAATAAAAGAGAAACTTGGTATATAGAGTGCTAGATAGGGCAGCTGGTAAACTTATTCTTATCTTCATCTTACCGGCTAAGAATCCAATTAATAATTAACAACCAACAAGTGGCAAGTAAGGAATCATAGAACGTAAAGTAGATTAATAAATCATGAATACATTAATTTAATCATTTGTTTCAAGAGAAGAATACAAGTTTCGTTCTTTACATGCAAAGAGATCACTATAAACACATCTCGAGATTCAAAGAAGAAAGAGCAACTGTACCATCAAACAAATGGATTTTGAAACTGATCAGTGGGTGGTTCAAATCAACGAGAAGCTGAAGAACCACGAATCTTCTTCAATGGAGATTCAAAAATGGAAGAAGCATTGCATTTATGCAATTCCTTCCTGTGTTGCAGACCTGAACAAGAAGGTTTACAACCCTCAAACGGTGTCGTTTGGTCCATATCACCACATGAAGAAGCATCTGGTAGCCATGGAAGAGCACAAGCAAAGAGCTCTGATTCACTTTCTGAGAAGGTGTGCTAAGCCATTAGAGTCGCTGATCAAAACTATGGCCAAAGTCGAAGACGACTTGAGGGATTGTTACAAGCCACTGGAATGGAAGAACAAGAACGAGAATAATAATGTTCATAGCTTCTTGAAAATGATAATTGTTGATGGGTGTTTCATGCTTGAAGTTCTCAGATTTGCATTTTGCGATAATAATGGTGATTATGCACAGAATGATCCCATTTTCAGTTGCCATGGAAGACTCTATACTATACCCTATATCAAACGTGATATGCTTATGCTCGAGAATCAGATTCCCATGATGGTTCTTGAGAAACTGATCGAATTTGAGGGAAACCAAGCCGAGGTATTTATTTAATTGTGGATTTTATGTTATATATGTTTAGGGCATTTTTAATTATGTTAAATTCTATCTTATATTTAATTCATTTTCTTTTACTAGCGCTGGTTGACTCAACCAGTTTCGTCTCTCTGCAACTCTTCTGCTACAACATTTTAACCCCATCGAGAGACTTTTTAGTGACAATTTGTGAGAAACAGTGATATGGATTGATGTTTTTGTCGCTGCAAAATCATTTTTAACTATGATGTTTTGTATTATGTCATTTCGATAAAGAGAAGTGCCATGTGGATTTTGGATTTTCTTAATTACTTAACAATTAATCTAGCATGGGAAAGATGCAAGAAGAAATAGGACCTATCTGTCACTATTGTTGTCACCTGCGTCCCACTTTGTAGATTGAGAGATCCAAATTTTGTTTTAAAGGCTATAAATGATTTTAAATAGATTGGTTTGAGGAACTGTGACCAAAAAAAAAAAACAACAACAACAAAGAAAGAAAGGATGAGCTTGAGCGATACAAGCTTTTTCTTATTTATGCCAAAAGATTCTCATCTTCATTGTCAAGTAATCAGTTATTTAAAACGATCCTCAATTGAGAAGTTATTCACCTGACTCGAATAGCTTTTTAAATAATTATTTTAACACTTTCTGTTAAAATAAAGAAATTGATTTATATATTCACAAATCTCTTTCATTTTCATTTTGTTCCATTACTATATTATAGGATCCAGAGTTGTTGAACAAGCTAATCCTCAAATTCTTTTGGCCCAGCACAACTCCAATCTTCAAGAGCTTTGGCAAATCCTTACACATCTTAGATCTCTACAGAAAATCCCTCCTTCAACATGAAGCCACTCACCCCACAATCATTCCCAAACCAATCAAATCAAACAAACACAGAGAAGACGACGAAATCATCATTCCCTCTGCAAGAGAGCTTCAAGAAGCTGGCATCACTTTCAAGCCAAGCAGAACCCACAGCCTCAAAGATGTCTCCTTCAATGGCGGAATCCTCAGAATCCCTTCAATAATACTCGATGACTGCACAGAGACAACCTTGTTGAACCTCATAGCATTCGAACGCATGCATGTAGGAGCAGGCAACGAGGTTTCTTCGTTTGTCTTCTTCATGGATAACATCATCGACAAGGAGATTGACGTGGTGATTTTGGAGCAAAAAGGGATTGTACAGAATGCTTTAGGAAGTGATAAAGCTTTGGCCAAGCTTTTTAACTCACTGTCTAGGGATGTTTCTGTTGATCGCGGAGGAGGAGGTCTGGATATAGTGCAAGTGAGTGTGTGTAGATATTGCAAGAAGCCATGGAATAAGTGGAGAGCTAATCTCATTGAAACTTACTTCAGAAATCCATGGGCGATTTTGTCTCTTGCTGCTGCAATATTTCTGTTTGTGTTGACTATTGTTCAGACTGTGTATACCATTCTTCAATTCTATCAACCAGACAGCTCTAGTTCATCATCTCCTCCTCCAGCTGGGCCATTTCTTCCAAGACGACGACCCCAACCTCATTTTTGAATTGGAGTTCTGATTTTCTTGTGGTGATTATGCAAAAAAGTGGAGAGAAAATATGAAGGAAATATTAATATACATAATTATTGGTAGCGCAAAGCATCTTCTGAAGGATTTAAGTTGCTTTCGGTATAAACCATGTAGTCCCTTTTGTGTCCGATTTGGTTCTAATTATGAATATGATCTCTTTGTATCCATTTTCCTTAATTAAGTCCAGACTACTTTGTTTTTTTTTTTTTTTTTGTCTCAAATCAAATGGCTCTTTATATAATGCAATGTCAAACTTTATATTTTCTATGATCGTTAGTACAAGTACTTCTAACATGTCCTTAATATAAAACAGGTTTTATTTTAAGTAATAATATTTTTATCCTATATCCCGAGCAAATTATAAAACTTTTTTAACTAACTAAACAAATGGCTCGAACTAATGACATTTATTAAGGATAATTTTGATAAGAGTTTTTTGAACTATCTCACACTGGCTTCGTAAAAAAACTAATCCCCAGAATTGGATCCTAAACCACCCAGGGATAGGCTACTAGTGCAGCCCCTATCACAAAAAGTAACAATCATTAAACAAACTCAACGTTGTCATTTTTCCTCTGATTTTGCAACTTTATGGGTAGTTTTATATTTTCGAAAAACTTATGACAGTGGGTGTACTTCAGTCAAAAACTTATGGGTATTTTTTGCACCCTTTTGTTTCTTTTCAATTTCTTTTTGGTCTATTAGTCTCTCTTGATCAACGAATAAAGTTTGGAAATCCATTCGTTCTCTTCTCCAATATACTTCTTCATATCATATAAATGTATAAAATTACAATGAATGTTAAATTAAGTTAGGATTCTCGAAGTGACTTCCTTTAAAGTAACAAAAATGATATACACATGATGGAGGCCCCACTTCTGTGATGCTCACCTCTAAAAAGTTGAAACCATTATCGTAGATATGAATCATCACTATACTTTTTTTTTATTAGTTTTCTTTTATGCATCCATTTGATTTAATGGCGAGAATATTGATTTAAAAAACCATCCTCCATTCCAACATTTATTATCTAAAAGTATTCGAAATATGTTTGAGAACCCAAGTACAATTTATCTTCAGCGGATGCGAGTCTTTTTTAAAGATATGCCGCACATAGTAGGGGGAAAAAATTATGCCTGCTAAAGATAAATTATATCCAGTATCCACTCAAAAACCTGAGTTTTTAGACATCTTTGAGAAATAAATTTTTTAACCATTTTTCTTTTAATTGAAATCTTAGCCAGTTTTTTGTTTTTTGATTCACCGGAAAAAAAAAATTCTTAACGAGCTAGCACGGCTCTTTCTTTTAAGAGGAAGGTAAGAATAAAGTGCACCAAGGGAAAGATCAACTGTAGCCTGTTACACCCGCACCCACACACACAAACAGGTTTCCTTCTATCTTCTCAAATCAACTTTAGCCTGTTATAGGCCTAGGTTTCCTTCTATCTTCTCAAATCAACTTTAGCCTGTTATAGGCCTAGGTTTCCTTTTATTTTCTCAAATTCTATATCCATAATAATTAAAGTAGTTACTACTTTGTTAAGATGAAATAAACTAATAAAGTAGGATAATGCCTGGTCATGTTATGTTAGTTGGCAGACAAAAAAGATGATGTTATATTAATGAATTGTCTCATTCCCATTGATCATTGTAAAATATAAAATCTACAATAAAACATATTATTTATATGAGCTAAGCCAGATACCTTATTCGCCGGCAAAAAATATAACTTCGTCTGAAAAATAATGTTCTTTTGGTCTCTCTAAAGCTTAAAAAGACTTTCTGCGTTATGTTTGATTCTAGAAAACTACTTATATAATAAAAACATATATATATATATCAGTCAATTTAAAATATAAATATAAATTTATATAAAATTAAAACATTCTCAATTTAAGATTGTGGTTAAACTATTAAATTATGAATGCACGAAAGATTACCCGCTTATTTTAAATTAAATCTCAACAATCACATGGGCATGCTACTTTTTACAGGAAACAAACGTTCCTAGCTGCATAATAATTGATTAAATTTTTTGTAGTTTCACAAACATAAAGTAAAAGTTAAACCTGCTGATCATCGCCACGTTGTTTGACGATTGGAAAATATTCACGTACGCGATTATGTATGTACTCTTCTGGTTCTATTTATAAAACAGAGATAGGGTATTTTTTGATCCTATTTATAAGGCACTGAAAGAAATTTTTTGTGTGGATGTACAATTTTACCCTTAATTTATTATTGTGTTGACTTTGTTTACATGAAATATAATATATATTAAATGGGGATAAAGTTGGAAAGTTATTAAATTTTAAATGAGAATTAATGAAGTTTAAGATTTTTTTTGCTCTGTGTGAAACAAGTTAAAAGTGCCTTATAAATAGAATCAGAGGAGTATGTATAATATTATCAAAGCAAACAAGATATAATGTCATGGTGAGTCCATAGTTAAGCAAAGTGAAGTCATGTGGTGAAAACTTGGAAAAGTGAGGTAGGCTATGCGAAATTAGGGGGACAAAGAAAATTTGTGTCCCAATGCTTTCCCATGATGTTTTTTTTTTTCATATACTCTTCCGATCCTTAATATAATACCCATTTCACTAATTTGATTAGATTAAGGAAATTAGATAAATTAGTTAATTATAAGAAATGTGATATGTTTTTCCTAAAATATCATAATCATCTTTCTTAATACCCCTCTTCCTCTTCTATTTGGTTATGATTGAAGGAATATCTATATGGGTAATTTAGAAAAAAATTGATAAATATGAGAAATAGGTCTTATATTTAGGACCAAAACTAACTCAACAATTAAGTCCTATATAAAAGACCGAAGGAGTAAATATATTTTTGACAGATCCCAGCGGCCTAAAGTTACAAATAGGATTGAAATCGCAGCCTTAACTCAGAAGGAAGTGTAACGCTTGCTCACTTAAAACATCTACTAGAATTTTTTTAATTAGACACATTTTTCCGAAAAGAAATTCATAAACGAGTAGTCTGCAACTCGGAAAGAAATTTTACAGTGGATGTCTTTGGTGCAAGTTTAGGATGACCCAGCTGCACCAGACCAAAGAATAAAAATACTACTGAATAATAAACCCAATGACTAATTTGAAAAGATTAAAAAAATTACTCAATTACTTTAAATTACTTTAAAGTATTTTTACTTATCATTTTTTTCTGAATAATTTATCTCATTTATAAATCAATATATAATATAATAATGCACGGAAGTATTTTAAAAAGATCGTGTAATATATACTACAATTAGATAATTTAGTAATTTTTTTAATCTTTTTAAATTAATTTATTAGGCCTTATATTAAGCAAACGAGGTAGTATTTACCACCAGGTTAACGTTAGTAGTAGGAACTCTCATCACCTAATCATGAGGTCGGGGGTTCGATTTCAACCCTCGAAAACAATACAGTCACCTAATTGGGAGAGATTTGCCTTTTGCTCTCACTACAACACGAGAGATCAGTCTCTATCGTAGGTGGACAGTATATTCCTTAAATCCATCCTTTCCATCTACATTTGCAAAAATTCTAAACCATCTTAAAAGCATATTAAGTATGTAACCTCGGTGAGCCAGAAATTCACATCGAGGTATTCAACCAAAAATTCCAACTTTAACTTAAATACTCATAAATTTCAAGTAATGTATACCATTAAATAGAAACCACGTTTGAAAAATAAAACAGAGAGAAATATGTAGTCCCAGAAATTAACACCCTGGATCCAGAGAAAATAGGAACCACAGTTCCTACCAGGATGTGAAATGGAATAATCTTGCTCTAAGTCCAATCATAGCATCGCCGGTCATTGCTCCAATGGCTACCGGAGATGGGACATTTGGACTTACCTTAAAATCAGTACAGTGGTAATACCTTCACATCATAAACAAAATGGCCCCTAGAAAAGATCGCACAAAAAACGATTAAAAATAAAAATAAAGAAAAACGACATAGACCTATTTCAACGCACAGCACTGCCAATCAATTTGGGATCTCTTCCTCATAGGATTTATCTATTTCTTAATCAGAAAAACTAAAATGCTCAACCATATCTTGCATAAAACTACACAATCATGGGCACTAATTCATGCAATGAATTAGCAAGAATAACAGAGACATACACATCATACAAAGAGTCCATGTTAGGGATTTGAAGAGTAAATAGAGTAAATCAGAGAAATTATGATTTCTTTCTCATCTCAAATACGTTTTACAATAAGCATTGTATGCACTGACTTTTTCTGACCAGATTATTTATCAGTTGACTAACATGGGCCAAGTACAATGGGATTTTGAGCAACCGAAACCATCTTCTCATGTATTCTTAAAAGTCGAAACAGCTGCAAACACATGCAAAATAAATTAACAAAGCTTTTCACAGAATGATCCATTAAATGAGAAACTGGTTGACTAAAGATCTAGGGGACAAGAAGGTGTTGGTTTTGTCTTCTGAATATCCTCATCAGTGCTGTGTTTGGTGGAACTTCTTTTTTGAGGACATTTCTCCTTCCAAAGAAGTTTCTCAGCTTTACAACCTAGCCACTCTCCAAATTGCTAAGGAGCTGTTGTTGGGCCTGTCCGCTTTATGGTTAGCTTGCAAACAACGACACCAGGAGTCGCAGGAAAAGAATGCTCATGTTTGGATATTAGTTGCAGAAAATGACGTTGGGAAAATTTATTTTAGAAAATCCAGTATAGCAAAAGAGACCTTCAACTTGTGTTGGAACAACTAAAGTTTGATGAGCAGACATTCAATAGAAAGCGGGTTTGCATAATTGGGTTTAGACCTAAGCTAAAATGTTGAACAAAATACTACACAATTATGGGCACTAATTCATGTAATGAACTAGCACAAGAACAACAGAGTTATATAGTATATAATGAGTCCATGATAAAGATTTGAAGAAAAAACAAAGTAAAATTATGTTCCTTTATCATCTAAAGTGCATATGACAGTAAGCCGTCCATGCACCGACTTTTTTTAGGAGATTCTTTATCAGTTGACTAACATAGAAAAAGCACAATTGGATTTGAGTGACCCAACCACATTTGCATATATTCTTAACAGTCCAAACAGCTGCAAACACATGTGAAAGAAACGAACACAGCTTTTCACAGAATGACCCACTAAATGAGAAACTGATCAATTGAAGATCTAGATGACACGAAGCTGTTGGTTCTCTCTTATAGCAAACATCTTATAAATATTCTTAGCAGTGCTATGTTTGGTGGAACTTCTTATTTGAGGGCAATTTTCCTTCCAAAGATGTTTCTCAGCTTAGCAACCTAGCTTCTTTTGAAAGTGCCAAGGAGTTGTTGTTGGGCTTGCCTTTATGATTGACTTGTAAAACCTACAATCCCTTTAGTTCCAGCATTGTGCTCGTTTGAGGAGCCTATAGATCAGATGTTGCCTGCTATCTCTTTTTGTGGTTTTGGATAATGTTTACTTTGCCTATGATGAACTGGTTTTAATCTTTCTTAAGGAATGTATTCCCTTTGGCCAAAGGAGAGAAGGGGGGAAAAAACAAACAAAGAAAGATAAGAAAGTGAATACCCCACTTACACATGAAAAATAATGGTGAAAAAGGGAAAATTAAACATGAACTACTCAGAACAAAATCCATCACCGTTATCTTGAATAATCACCAAACGAATGTAACCAACGAAACCCCCATCCTCAAGATTTTTGTTGGAACTAAACAGAAAATTTGAAAATGTAAGAGAACAAGACCTTGGGGTAAAATTTATATAAATTATGATCCCTTTCTCATCTAAAATGCTTAGTACGCTAAGTCTTATATACACTCACTTTGCTCACTTATCAGTCGGCTAACACGGGCCAAATACAATATGCACCAAAACACTTCCTCGTATATTCATCATTAATAGTTCAAACAGCAGCAAACACATGCAAAAGAAATGAACACAACTTTGCACATAACGGACCCTTATATTTCACTACTTAGATGTGAGAAAATATTGGCCATGAATAAGGAATCAAACACAAACTCCTCAGAATAAATCCATACTGTTAAGACTAAGCAGAAGAATTCCATCACCACAACTCCAATTAAACAACGCACTACCCCATGGGAATTTCACAGGCGAATAAGATTTAACCAACCCAATGCCCTAAACGAAAACATCAAATGACGATGAAGTTTTGACATGGAGATCAATCAACAACAGGGACTACTGAAACAGAATATTATTGCTATCGAAGGTGAATCTGTAGAATTCACAAAGAGAATTCATGCTAAACCATCCCATTCTCGAAATGAATTTACTTTAATGAAAAATCAGAACAACATGGGATGGACTAGAATTCATAATAGAATTTTCATTTTAAAACGTATCATAGTTCCAGAATAAAACTCGCCTATGGCACGACATGAAATGGATTAACAAAAGGGGCAGGGAGAGATATTACCCGTTTCATCTGCTTTGACCTTTCTCTCGGAAATTCCTTTGTGGGAACTGGGAAAGCCAGAAAGGACGTGTATTTGGGTGGTCGTGACCGAGAGGATTTTGCTACTCCCCCCGTCACTTCCTCCCTCCATCTGAAGCGAAAGATCTGGCAAAGGTGCACTAACCGGAGGACCGCGGAATGGGCCGGCCTTTCACGGGCCGCTGGCGCCATTTTACAAAACTGAGCCTTTATGTACGAGGCTCAGGCAGCGCGAAATTTTAGGCCAGTTTACAAAATTTGATTTTTTTTCAATACTAAACAATAGCAACATCATTGATGTGATCTTCATTGCTAGAGATAATAACACATAAAATATAAATCAAATCATCATTTAAAATTTAAAGTAGTTCATTTTTTTTAATTTAATCATAACTATTAACAAACTAAAGTGTCAAATTAAGGTCTAAATAACTAAAAATAAAGCAAATCAAATTGTTATATTGAATTCTAATAGAAAAATATCCATTATCATATAAATATATTAATATTTTCACATCAGGTTAGATCATGTCATTTATAAAGGACTAAGATAATTTTAACCAAATACTAGCTAAATAAAAAATGAAAAAAATATAATTATCAAAATGATTTTAAAATATATCAAATAATTAAAAAAATACACAGGTTTAAATAGGTTAGCCCTTGGCCCTATAGTCACGAAGATGGAGCCACTGAGACTATAACATTTGAGAAGTCAGATATATATTATTACTTACCAAACTATGTGTTTTGAAGCAGTCCCGAAGTTGTGGAGGATGATTTAACTAATCAAGTTTATACTCATGAAATTGACTAAAAATATATTTAAGTCACAACACAGAACTAGAAAAATTGTAACAATAAGAGAACTTAATTGAGAAACATCCTAACCATAAAGATCAAACATAAGAACAAAATACTACTTCCGATCCTAATTATAAGATATTATTTATAGACGATAAATAAAGTTTTATAATTATGGCCGGACGTAGGATAAAGATATATTTAAAGAATTCCTCTTTATAGCAACCGAAAACACCCATGTAGGCCAGAAATATCATTCCAATGGGGCTTCTTAATTAAAAATTAACACACACACACACACAGAAGCTCATGTGGTACATCATCAAAGGGCTACCCTGCAAGTTCTCAAGCAACATTGAGTTTCTAATTAATACAAAAGTATATAATAGTAGGGAGAATTTTAATGAAGTCTTAAGAAAAGAAAATAATTATTAAGAAGTCCTAATAACAAGTAACTAATACGAACATATTATATCTTTCCTTATTTTGAAACTTATTATTAAATTCTTTTTAGTTGTTAATATAAATCCCTTTCTTGAAACCTGATTGTAATTCTCCCATAATATTGATCTTCAACATATATTGTAATTCCTTACAATATACTTGAGCAACAATGATCGAGTGTATGTTGAAGTGGTCAATGATGTAACTCAAACACTCAGTTTGAGGACAACTAATTTAAAATGTTAGCTGGGAATTTATATATAAAAAGTGTATAAAGGTTTCATTAAAATTAGAAAGCACTCCTTCAGTTCTAAATGTAAAACTCATTTGTAGTATAGTTTACACCAAAAAGTGAATCTTATATTTAGGATATGAGTGGGTAAAATTTATGAAGTTTGTGTGATAGATGAAATATGATATTTCAATATTAATAAAAGATAATGCATTAATTAAAACCAAAGGTGTCATCTACGCCAAATTTATAAATGTAAAGAAATTCCTCATTGATTCTAAAAAATTAAAAGCATTATTTGTATATGTGTTTTTAAATATATATACATATATATATATATATATAGAAAGAGAGAGAGACAAAAATAGACTATCAATGCATGAACTCTAGTTTGTTTGATTAAAAAAAAAACAAAGAAAGACAATTCAAAGTCGGTGCTGCCACAATCAGTTTGATTGATAAATGAATAGAATCTTAGAAATTAAATTTTGGTTTTGGGATTGAAAAGTCTTCAAATTTTGTTGGCTTCAATAGTTTACAGTGACCGTCAACGCTAATTAAGTAACCTTTGGTTTATTTACGTGTACTCTGAAAAAATTTTGTTTCGCTGGTCCCGGAAAAAAAAAAAGAAAATTTTTATTTCTCAACAAGTTCTTTAAATTTATGTTTTGAGGAGTAGTCAATAAGATAATTTAATATTTCATTAATTTATTATCACCCTATTTGGCTGTGAGCTTTCTTTAATTCATTTTCATTTTAATCACATCAAAAAGGCCAGTCTTCTGCCCCATTTGGTCTGCTCTTGGAAAAATAATCATGTAGTGGTAATAAAAAACATTACAACGTATTCCCCAAAACGAAGAAAAGAAAACAATGTAGGGTTACCATACTGACCGAGATATATATATATATATATA